GTACTGGATCTTCAATTGCTTTCTGAAGCCAGGGCATGGATCGAGGAAAGTGTCATTAGAAACCTCTATTGTACAATTAGATCTCATCTGACATCTTTCATAGACCTGCGCTCTGTTATGGCCAGCCGTGTCATTCGGGGGAACGCATGCATCATTTGAAAGGCCACTGCTGTCGCAAATGCTAGCGTTCTCTTGTTCACGGCCGTAGTATATGCTGTTAATGTTGATGAATGTACCGTTTGGACAAGATAAGTTGGCTGTCAAAAATTCGTAGGTTGTAGAATTGCGGTCTAAAAAAAACGTAGATTAACATGGTGACGTCTACTTAAAATTTGTGTATGTGACTACCGATCAATCTAGATGTCTATCGTAACGATACTACCGCTCAATTGTCATGACCCAGTGGTTAGGATTTTGGCTAGTCAGGTTTGGTTTGTGATGGAGGGTAGCTTACACTGCATAGTGTCGAACAAAACAACATAAACACGTACCAAGACACTCTTTGTAACATCCTGACTCCCGAGTTTCTGATTTCCGACCGGAGCAATCACCACCTCCTATAGTAGTGGTAGGATTTTGACAAATCCTCCTCCTGACTTGATGGTACCTTATACCGCACACGTCAGGGCACGCACTCCAGCCTTCCCATTGGAGATAGCCAATGTCAGCTAAGATCAATAGATATCGAAGAGATACTATGGTTCAGTCACAACAAACATGTTTGGTGAATAGAGTAACTTCGTTGATCAGTGCCATTTAAAGAAGAACGTCCAGTCAGATTTCTGTCCTTAGTTTCACGGTAAAAAAAACCGTTCGCTTCCAATATTTTCACAAGGCTAGGCATGCAGACATGGTTAGAGATGCCGGCAGCTTCGAAATATAAGGGGTGAAATAATTGTGATATACTGAGATCCCTTGCCTCCTTTTTATTTCTAATCCATGTAGGTTTGAGACGATGGAAATCTTGAGCCGGATATTCGGGGTTGAAAATATTTTCTTGGACTCCCCTTTGAAACCCACTAAAGCTGTTTAGTGCGTTTGAAATCTTTCATTGTTGCTCGCTCTAACGGGTCGGACCATTAATAAGCTACAGAAAATTTTATTTAATAACGTTTAAAAGATGTTTCATTCAAGCTTTTTTGCCATGTTAGAGCTACAGTCATATAGTTGGGCTGTACTTTCGAGGTCACGATGACATTACATCAAAGTTCCTCGATGATGGGACAGTTGTGGTCATCCCTTTGAAGTCTAATGGCNATTCATTTTCTGTAGAGACATGATATTTAGAGGAAAAAATGTTACCTTGATGATGCTCAGCCGCAGGTTGAGTTGTTGTTAATACCTTTCAAAACTGTCATGACAATCTGTTGAGTTTACAAATCAACGGAATGAGTTATTGCGTTATATCATTTACAATGCTGGTTGGAAATAAAATGACAGAAAGTACTCGACATAACCAAAATGGTATATTTCCAATATTATTCTTGAATATTTGCAAATGACTTACAGTTAGCAAACGTCATACAATACCTTTAGACACTAACGAAAGTTTACATAGCTTATTTCATTTACAGTGTCTGATTGCAAATTTGTTTTAAAAAAAATTAAAACTTTGGGGTAAATTGCAAAGCTAACCTTGTCTCACGTTTCCTATTTAACGGTGAACATCCGTTGGCTGGCTTATTGAAGTGTTTACGGTGATGGGCGTTTCGTTTCTTATATGTCCGTTCATGTAAACTCAACGCGAACGGAGTCAGATTACATATCCAAATATAAATTGGTTTAAATTTTATAAAACGATGTTTTTGAAAATTCATTTTAATAAGTATTCAATAAACGAGCTAAAGATAAAAAAGGGGAGAAGGGAGAAGGAGACTAGGTGGACCAAAAACAACATGGAGGAGAGTGATTGAAGACCAAAAACGAATAACTGGGTGGCAATCATGGATGACTGTTAGATCTTTAGCAACAAACCGAAGTGGATGGAAAGAGAATGTTAAAGCCTTATGTGCCTTATGGCACAAAGAGATATAGAGATAGAGATAGGGAACAAGCTATTGATCACTTTGCGAATTAACACCATAATATTCTAAAAAATGCAAATGTGGTTGGTACGTTATGACTCTCCATATGTGTAAAATGTCTTAGAGGGGGATGATTCTACATTCTCTTATGTTAGATTTGTACATTAGAACTTAACATCTTCAGCGTGTAAAAAACAAAACTCGAAAGCAGTTTTTCGCCTGGTCAAGGAGTCCTTTAAAATTATAACTATATGGTATAATTTCAGGGTGCCTTGAGAGAATCAGAATCGCATCTAATATTCACCATGACATTCAGGGATGCCTCGCTTTTAATTTGAGGACTTCTTTTCCGAGCATGAGTCACTTTAATTCCATGCACCACTTGATTTACAGGTCCCGCTTGTTCAAAGATTGGATAGCTATTCACTCGATTTTCAATCCAGTGGAGAGCACAGTACGCTTTGCTATTGCTTATCCGCGATTTCTCCGTTGGATGTTTAAACTTATCTGCCCTTTAAACTGCTGGACCTTTGTCTTCACAGTCGAAAAAAACTTCGATTCATTTGGATTTAGCTTTCGACCATGTCGTCATTTTTTTTTACCCTGCTAAGGAAATTGTTTCTTATCCATACAGTTTGAAGATATTTCAAAGCCACTGTTTGAGTAAAAATTAATTTTTAAAGAATCACCCAGGAGGAACCTTCCTTTAGCAGTTATTTACTCAGGAGAAATTAGAAATTACAATGACTATCGCTCGCTTTCTTTTGGTTATTCGTGATAAACATGTTACAAAGTAATTATGCTCAATACATGCTCAGGACCATCTGCTG